TTGAAGGTAATTTTATTTAAAACACTATCAAACACTAAATATGAGCATCTCTTTCAGTGGGAATTTGAGCTTTAGTTCATCATATTGTGAGGGGTCGGCCCCTTTCGTTAAAGCCAACCCTTATCAGTAAAGTCAAACAATTTTGTGTTAATGCATATGCTGATTTATTTTCTATGAATAAAATGATCAATCTTATTTAAGGCACTATCGGGCAATAAATGTGGGTATCTCTTTCAGTGAAGATTCAAGTCTCAGTTCACCATATTATACAAGACTGGTCCCTTATGCTAGATCTAACCTTTATTTGTAAAGTCGGTCAATTTTGTATTAATGCGTATGCTGATTTGTTTTCTATGAATTAAATGGTCCCCCTTTCTTCACCCAATAAACAATAAACAATCCACCATGACGTCCCATTATTAGTTGAAAAGATGGCTTCAATATTTAGAGAAGTATATATATATATATATATATATATGCACATATCTCAAGAGGAGATGATATAGATGGGAAATGTTGATGTTAAATTGTATAACTGAAGGGATAGAATAAATTTTTTTTTTTAAAAAAATGTTCCTAATGTTCCTAATGTTCTCGGAATAAATACTGTCAAGTTGAAAAGGAGGGACTCGAAGAGGATTTTACATCAAATCCAAAACTTGAACTATATAGCATGTGAGCTAAACACACCCCCCCCCCCCCCGAGTATTATAAGTTGGTCCCCCTCCATATTCAGAAAAAAATTACAATATGAAAAGAACAGCATGAAAATATAAATTTTAGTGTGATTCAATCTATAACTCTATTGATTAAGATAATTAATGCTGCCCGTCTTTAATATAAGAGGTACTTAACTAATTGGATTTAATTAAAAAAAGTCAAATAAATTATTTTATTATAACAAACATCCTATAAAACATTAAATTATAAGTTAGAGAAATTAATTGGACGAAAAATAATAGATATAAGAAATAAAGTAAATTAAGATCTTATATGATTAAATTCAACCTCCAAACTAGTTTTTAGATTGATGTAAAAATTCTCTTTAATCTAAAATTAATGTAAGCTTAACATTCAACATTAATGTGGTCGGACAGGGAGCGATACTGCAATGATTTTGACTCTTAATGGGCAATACTGCTTTACTAATAGTAGTTTATACTGATAATATCTAATTAGTGCTACTGGCAAAGTAGTCCAAAGGCAAATATCCGTTAATTCTTAAAATAATTAGAGAGGGCCTGGGAAAAAACAGAAGTAAATCACACGCTGAGGGGAAAATTAATTTGTGTTAGTGGGATAGTATTGTTGACGACTGCCAAAACTTTCTTAATTAATTATTAATGTTAATCAACGAAACATCATATTGTTTGGTCATTGCGTGTTCCCCCAACCCACTATGATGAGGTTAATTAACTTTTAAGACCTTCCTGGCAATTTTTAACGTTGACTTTAATTTAGCTTTGGAATTACTTTTCTCAAAAGACAGAAGCTGCCATTGAAAAAAATTAGAAGATGATGAAAAAGAAATTACCAATATTTGGGCACAACACAAAGTGGAAGTCATCATATACCATCCCAGTAAGATGAAGAATTAATTTTTTTTCCACCAGCGTGTAATTTACTCCCCTTCTCTTTTGATTCCCTTATATTCTTTTTTTTTTTTAAAAAAAAAAAGACATGGTTGTTGAAAAGCAATGGCAGCTGCGATCTCTTGAGAAAAGTCATTAATTCAAAAGCTAAATTAATATTAAAAATTGCTGAAAAAAATCCTAAACGTTGATTAACTTCATCATGGTGGGTTGAGGAAACACGAAATGGCCCAAACAATATGACGTTTCATTCATGAACTAATAATTAGTCATCAATTAGGAATATTCAGTAAGAAAGTTAGGGAAGTCATCAAAAACAAGATTGAAGTGAATGTTAAAAAATCTTTTAAAATTCTTGAAAACAATCACAACTTGTTTTTTTTTTAAAAAAAAAAGAGACCATAACTATAAGTATAGGTAAAAATAGGTCAGGCCATATCAAGTTTCGACCTTAACAGGCTAGGCCTGTTTGCTAACAAGCACTGTAGCTTATTCTAGGCTTTTTTTGACAGCTTAAACCTAGTCTGTATAAAAGTATGGCATAACCTGAAGCCTGTTTAATTGATTTTTAATGTGTAACTTTGTCTGAAAAATTATTTTTTTAAAAAAGTACAAGATTGCACTGTTTCATGGCTGCGAAATATTGTAATGCCTCATTTTATCTACAAATTAATAATAACACAAGACGACGTGCCAAGCAAAAATCAAAGATGAAAAGGAAATTCATATTCTTATATTTCCTTCAACAAATTGAAAAATAATGATGGCCGAATAACACAGTCAAAAGAAAGTTGAGTTTCACTGCAACACTAATAATGTGAAAATACGAAACGAATAATAATAGAAAGACGAAAATCTAGGCACTAAATCGTTCAATATGAAATAAAATAGGAAACAAAGGTGTTGAACACGCCGCCCAAAAAAATAAATCTAACATGTATCAAATAATTGATATCCTTCCAGGAAATTCGTGTTCTCTTTTTCTCATCAGAGCATGTTGACACAGATTTTTCCGATGGTTTGATCACTTGGTAAATCAATTTTATGTTGCCTGGGCTCTGGTTCCAAAAGCTTAGCTGAGTTAATAAATTAGATTCCTTGATTTTTCAAGTGTTGTTATCATTTAAATTAGCTTCCTTTATTTAAAAACTACTCTGATCATTATTCAAATACTGAGTCCTGCTTCAAGAAATAAGGAGTTCCGCTGCTGTTACGCACCATCAAGGACTCTATTGTTGTCTATTGAATGTCCTTTAGTTATCTTAAATTTGGTGAATTGTGAGAAGAGAACATGTTGTAATAATAGCTCTTACGGTGCATGTGTCCCATGTTGTGAAGAAACCTTTGATGAATAGTGTTCCATGTGACGTGAGATTTTACTTTAAACTTTGATCATGTGTTACGAGTTACAACCAAGTAAAAATGTAAACGAAAGGGCATATGAATGTTGTAATCTGTCAGATTTATAGGCTTATTGGCTTACTGGATATTAATTTGGATGTCGAAGATATCAAAATTTGGAGCTTGCATCGCAGTGAATCGCCATAATGCTGGTGGCTTGGAGGATCTAATAATAACATTCTGTTTGGACACTTGAGATGCTCTGTTCCATTGTGGTTTATATATATATATATATATAGAGAGAGAGAGAGAGAGAGAATTAAGGAAATTATACGACTAAATTTAGTCTTTAAAATAATTAAAGATATGAGACTAAAAGAACGAAGTAAATTTCACGCTGAGGGGAAAATTCTTCTCAGTGGGTTGGTATCGTTGATGACAACCTTAACTTTTTTAACTGACTGTTAATTATTAATGGTGATGAATAAAACATCATATTGTTCGGTTGATGCGTGTTCCACGGTTTAATTAAATTTTTAAGATTTTTCCAGCAATTTTTAACATTAGCTTCAATTTAACTTTTGAAGGACTTTTATCAGGAGTCAGGGGCGGCCATTGCTTTTCAATTTTTTACAATTTTTGTGTTTAGGTGAAGGCTTTTGTTATTAAAGATTGTTTATGTTTAATACTACTTTCAGTTCTTAATATAAAAGCTAGATAATTAATTTAGGAATATTAAGAAAATTAATTAAATTGGTTATTTGTTACAAATGTGTGTTAGGCTCTCTAAACTATTGTCTTTAATCACGTACATTGGATTATTGAAATTATCCCTTAATGAAACCCTTTACAATCAATAGGGATATTTTGAGAAAAAATAAAAGACAAAGTATATTGATATATTATATTTAAAATGAAATTCAATCCAACTAGCTATTATATTAAGTATTAGATTTAGTATTTGGGCATCACACTAAGAGAAAGTCATCAAATACCCACTAAAATAAAAAAGTGAGTCACTTTCTTTAATTATAACTGTTGAGAAAAGTAATTCAAAACCTAAATTAACTTTTCTTATAAGAGTCTTAGGTTTCCATTGCTTTTAATTAATCACTTTTCTCAAGAAACATGTATATAGTATATACCAACTACCAAGCGATAATTCTATTAAGCTTTGGAAACAAAGCCATTTAATCAACTTTAGGGACCTTCCCAGCAATTTTTAAGAATAATTTACCTTTTGAATGACTTTTTTCTTAAGAGAACGAAGCTGCGATTGCTTTTCAATAACCGCATAAAAAAGTTAGAAGATAAGGGAATAGAGAGAGAAGGGAAGTAAATTACACGCTCGTTATTGGGATAGAATTTGATGACTTCCAAGTGCTAAGCCCAGATATTGAACATTAATAATATTAATACAACGTGATAAGAGGGGCCACAACATATGATACACTAGATGACGTGGCTCAATATTCACTACAAAAAAAATTAACTTTAAGTGGTGACAAAAAGTCGCAATTAAAAATATAAAAGTCGCTGTTGAAAAGTTGTTGATGTAGCAACCGCGGCTGAAAAATTTCAGTGGCGATGAAAAAAGTCAATGCTAAAAGATATGAGACAAATTAATTATTTAACTTTTATATTTGATCTCATAATTTGTTTGATGACGTAATTTCATTATCTCTTGGAATTATTTCTTCCTTGTTCCACTTAAACTTGGCCTACAATCAGTTGAGTGGCAATCTTTCAGAAGTCTTTGGACAACTCCACAGCTTAGATCATTTAAGCATTGGACACAATTTCTTGGTGGGAGCTCTTATAGAAAGGAATTTTTCCAATCTCTCAAATTTAGCATTTTTGAACTTAAGTTCAACAAATTTTGAATTTAGTATTGATCCTAAATAGGTCCCACCATTTCAACTTGAGATGTTGTAGATGGGTAACGCAGGCATTGGTCCTAATGTTCTAACATAGTTATATACACAACGGTCTTTAAGATACGTCTATATTTCAACCTCAATGATTTCAAAAATTTATGCAGAAGTATTTTGGAGTTTTGTAGTAGGAATGGATTATGTTGATCTCTCAAACAACTTGATCAGTGATGACATATCTAATCTCACACTACTAGCAAATATCTCTTACTTTGATGCATCGCACAACTCTCTGTCAGGATCTATTTTCTCGTTATTGTGCCATCAAGAGAGTGACAAAGAAAGCAACTTCCTAGTGTTGGATCTATCACATAATAATTTGAGTGGAACACTTCCTGTTTGCTGGACCAATAGGAAAATATTAGAAGTCCTTGATTTGGAGAGTAATAAACTAGCAGGTAAAATTCCTCTCTCAATGGCTTCATTAGTGAATCTTGCGCAGTTGGATTTGAGCCATAACAGTTTGTTCGGCAAATTTTCATTGGACTTGTCAAACTGGACAAATTCAGAATACCTCTATTTAGAGGGAAATAAATTTTCTGGAATTTTGCCAAATACCATGCAACAAAATTTATATGTGATCAAATTGAGGGGAAACCGATTTATAGGCAATATTCCATCACAGTTATGTAACCTCACTTGGTTGACAATATTGGACCTTGCTGATAATAATCTTTCAGGAACTATACCACACTGCCTATATAAAATCATGCTTTGGATTAGGAGCTATTACATTATAGATGAAATAGAAAACTTTGCTAAAGGAAGAGAATTGGATTACAGTACTTCACAAAGGTGCATAGCGTTGCTCTTTCCACTAACAATTTGTCTGGAGAAATTCCTAAAGAATTGTTTAACTTGGTTCAGCTGGGGTCCTTAAATTTGTCTCGGAACCATTTGATTGGGAAGGTTTCCAAGGAAATTGGTGGCATGAAAAACTTGGAATCTCTTGATCTCACCTACAATAAAAGAGAAATTATTTCAGCCATCTCTAATTTGTCTTTTCTTGACTATTTGAACCTCTCATACAACAATTGTACTGGACTAATCCCATTGGGAATCCAAATTCAGATTTTTGACCCATGGAGTTTTGTGGGCAATGATCTTTGTGGAGATCCTCTTCCCAAGAAGTGCTACGAGCAAGAGGCTTCTAATGACTCAAAGCCAGCTGAAGGAAACGAAGATGATGATTTTCTGAAGCATTGTATCTTGGGATGGAAGTAGGATTTACAGCAGGTTTCTAGGGAGTTTGTGGTATTCTGTTCCTCATCAGAGCATGGTGACATAAATTTTTTCAACTGTTTCATCTTATGGTGGATCCAGTTTATGTTATCGTGGTTGTTGAGGTAATTAACCGATCTGAGATCACATACTTTTTTTTAATAAGGTTTTATTTTCCTTTTCGCCTTGTTCTTGCCACAGACAAATTCAGTTCTTATCTGCTACGTAATAGATTCCAATGACTTCCTCTTAAATTCATTCAAATCTCATATTTTGTTTCAGGGAATAGAGACGTTTGCTGCAGCTATACATGGCCCGAGGTCTCTTAATGTTTCCTACTGATTGTCATATCTCTACTTTGTAGTAAAATAGTTATCGGAGTATGTGTATGTGTTGTCATGTCTCACAAAAGCCTTTTGTTGAGTGGTTTCCCAAGTCATGTATTGTTGTGATTTAAGACTTTGATTATTTTCTACTCCCTCCGTTCCTTATTATAAGAGACATTTGATGTTTATGGCATGTTCCTATATATAAGAGACACTTACAAGTTGTCTCTACCTTTTTGTGTTGATTTACTATTTTACCCATATTTATTATCTTCAACTCACACACTCTCTCTCTCCCACTTCTCTTTCTTTTAATAATTTAATTGTTCTCTCTCATGCTCTCTCTCCTTATTAATGAGGGTATTTTTGGAAAAAAAATTATACTTTTTACACATTAATTGTTCTTAACTAATTTTAACTGTTTTTTTGATCAATGTATTTCGGTTATTTGTCTCTTATAATAAGGAACGGAGGGAGTATTTAATAGTGAAAGATTCAAGTCTATATGCTTTTGGAATTGATAATAAATTTTCATTTTCGATGTTGAGGATATCCAAAATTGAAACTTGCAACAAACTGAATCCCCATAAAGCAGCTGGCTAAGAGTATCTGTTTCGACACTTGAGATGCTCTGTTCCATTGTGTTTGAAATAATAGAGTCATGCCTTGGTTAGGTTACGTAATCAAATAAAGAGTTAGTCTAGCAATGTAAAGTCTTTCTAGATCTCTTTGGGTTTGAGTCATAAAGGAGACACTTTTGTGAAGAGGGAAAACCTGGTTATAAATTACTAATGGTAACGAATGAAGCATCATTTGTTTGTTGCGTATTCCATGGTTTAATTAAATTTTTCGGATTTTCCAGCAATTATCTTCATCAATGCAACATTTGAATGACTTTTCTCAAGAGTTAGTAGCTGCCATTGCTTCTCAATTATTTTACAATTTTTTTGTTTCAATGTAGGCTCTTGTTATTAAAGATGCGCTTAATACTATTTCCAGTTCCTAATGTAAAAGCTAGATAACTAATTAGAGGATATTAAGAAAATTAGTTAAGTTGGTTATTTGTCACAAATATATATTGGTTTCCCTAAACTATCCTTTTTAATCATGTATATTGGATGATTGGAATTATCCTTTGGTGGAAACCTATTAAAATTAATAAGGATATTTGGGAAAAACCAAAGGACAAAGTGAATTGAGGTAAGACCAAATCCAATTTTCTCATTAGCTCTTATATATGATAGTAGTATTTGGGCATCCCTCAAAGGAAGTCATCAAACACTATCCCACTAAGATAATAAATTAAATTATTTTCCACCACTTTCCTTCATTTTTAACTTTTCTTAAGAGTCTTAAGTTCCCATTGCTTTTGATTAATCACTTTTCTCAATAAATTTATATACACTATATACCAAGCAATAATTCTGTAAAACTTTGGAAACAAAGACATGTTGATCAACTTGAAGGACCTTCCCAGCAATTTTTAACAATAACTTTAATTTAGCTTTTGACTGACTTTTTCTTAAGAAAACGAAGCTGCCGCTGCTTTTCAATAACTGCATAAACAAGTTAGAAAATAAGGGCATAAAGAAAGAAGGAAAGTAAATTACACGCTGGTGGAAAACATTTGATGAATTCCACTTAGTGCTAAGCCCAAATATTAAACATTAATACCATGTGATAAGAGGGGCCACAACATATGAGACACTAGATGAGGTGGCTTAATATTGCGATGACATGTCATCACATGGCCCATTGTTTATATATATATATATATATTGATAAAAGTGATTAATCAAAAGCAATGGGAACTCAAGACTCTGAGAAAAGTTAATTTAATTATTTTATTATTATTGTGTTTAGGTATAGGTTCTTGTTATTAAAGATATTGTTTACGTTTAATATTTGATCACAGCACAAGGTGGGAAGTCATCTTTTACTATCCCACTAGGATGATGAATTAGTTTTTTTCCACCACCGTGTAATTCACTTTCCTTTTCTTTTTTCCTTTATTTTTTAATTTTTTTTAGAAAATTAAAACCAAGGACGTATGGGACAATGTTTATTTTTATAAAAAAGAATATAATATTAATTGATAAGGATCATACAAATTATAATTATTTCGAAGATATAAATTTAAAAATTCTAAATTGCTACTAACCAATCTTCCTACGTTCCCTTCTACCTTCAGAATTTTTTAACAAAATAAAACTAAAAAACTAAAACTGCCCATAGCGTAACTATATATTTAAATTTTTTTATAAAAAAGAGCTTTTACTTTCCACAGTGGACGTTATTCTTGGTGATATCAACTCTTTCCTTACGAGAGATTCTTTTCTCCATTTTGGGAGGGCGTATGTACTTCTACTCAATTTTTATATCCAGACTTTGTTATTTTCTAAAGTTATTGCAATTTTTTTTTTGAAAAAGTAGGTGTAATTAAACTTAATTTTTAGGCCATACTTAAACATTTGCATTTTTTTTTTGTCCGCGTTACAATAGCTTCCAAGAAATTTCTGTATACATCAAACTTATGATGCTTGACGGGGGAAAAAAAACTTATGATGCAAAAGTAATGAATATTTATTCCAAGAGTATATATATAATTAGTTAATTTTTTCATTTTATAGCTAAAATAAAAAATAAAACTAATTATTTTTTCAATAAATAAATATTTGACTTACGTTTGAATAATTTGCAAAAATTCTCGTTTTGAAATAAAAAAAAAAATGCCCCCAAACTATTGATGAATTTCAAGATATATATGATTGTGTGCAGTATCTCTGTAACACTTTGTCATTGATGTTGTTAATAAAACTATGAACTGATCATTAAACGTCTAGCTAACAATTTATAGTATTTTTAAAAGTTAAAAGTTGTATTCACATATAGCCTCTAAGTGAATGGTCTATTTATATTATATGTCATGGAAAAAAATCTTTAATTTGTTGTTTAAGCAACTTTTACTTTTTGAAGGGTTCAAATGATTTGGCTGTGGAAATTGAAAAAGAAGATTAGTTGTGAAAATGAATTTATTAATGTTTCAACTTTTCTTTGAAAAGATGGGAAGACTTGGAAGTATTAGAAGACCTGAGTATAAAAAAGATGTGGTTACAGAATTTTTTTGGGCATTTAAATATTTGTTTATTTTGATTTTCCACTATTTTTGAAGCAGCAGTTTGCTTGCAATAATTTTCACAACTTATAAACATCCTGATCTTGTAAATAAAGGCTTAATTGAGTTCATTCTACTCAAGCAAATCACGATGACAGTTTCATTTTGCAACTTTCCTTTGTTTTGTTATTTCAGCATATAATACGACTTGAATTAGAGAGGTATGACTTTGTGGTGTGTTTGGAGCAAAATTTTGTCCAATTTCTTATACATAAATATCAAACTACAGCGCATAAATAGTTGGTCAGATTTCAATGATCTCAATTAATTTATTCATTTCCGGAGTAAAACGAAAATAAAATTAATTCACTTTCACTTCAATATGTGTCTGTATATATGCTCCTTTCAGTAATTAATAAAAATATAAAACATAATAATTACGCTCCATGCCATTCATGGAGTCCATACAGGATTTGTTTTTTTTGCAAGCATTTTGAAAAAAAAAATCACTAAGCTATTGGACTTCACAATGAAAATCATGCGGTTATAAATTTTTTAGCATTTAAATTTTTGCTTATTACTTCAGATTTTCCAGTATATATAGGTATATCATGTATAGGCTTCATTAGGCCATTATACTCAAACTTACCACAATGGCGAGCTTCGCTTCACAAATATCTTTTCCTTTGTTGTTTCTGTTATTTGCAACAACGTTCAACAGGGTGATCAGTTGCAATGAAAATGATCAAAGGCTGCTTTTAATCTTCAAACAGGAAGTGGTTGATACAGAGAACCAGCTCTCTTCTTGGACTGCTGAAGAAGATTGTTGTTTATGGGAGGGAGTTCACTGCGACAACATCACCGGAAGAGTCACAGAGCTTTCTCTTTCCACCACTTATGCATTAGAAGGTGACATTAATCTGTGTGTGCTTCAACTTGAATTCCTCAATTACTTGGACTTGAGCGGCAATGACTTCAAAGCTGTGAGTATGCCACCATGCCAAATCTCCAAATCTCCCTTTGATGCTCACAAATTTCACAACCAATCACTTGGTACTCCTTCCAATCATTCAACAAGTTTCTCTGTTGCTCTGCGTTATCTTAATTTTTCACATAATCTTGATTTAGTCATAAATGACCTTCATTGGCTTTCTCAACTTTCTTCCTTAAAATATCTTGACCTTAGTGATAGTGATATTGGAAAGGATACCAAATGGCTCCAGCATATAGCCATGCTTCCTTCACTCTCTGAGTTACACTTGAGATATTGTGGATTCAGAGATCTTCCTTCCATTGATTATGCCAATTTTACGTCACTTGAAGTTCTTGTTCTTTCTGAAAATGTTAACATGATGAAGTTGAAATTACCTAATTCATTCTTTAATATCACCAATCACATCTATTATCTTGACCTTTATGAATGCAATTTCTATGGACCATTGCCAAAGTCCTTGCTCAATCTTCAAAATCTCAAGCATTTAGATTTAGGGTATAATAATTTCAAAGGACTAATTCCACATTGGTTAGGCCAATATGAACAGTTGCAACGCTTGGATATCAGAGGTAATTTTTTTTATGGTGTAATTCCATTATCTCTAGGAAATATTTCTTCCTTGTTCTACTTAGACTTGTCCTACAATCAATTGAACGGCAATCTTCCAGAAACCTTGGGACAACTTCATAGCTTAAATCAATTAGACATTGGGCACAATTTCTTGGTTGGTGTACTTACAGAAAAGACTTTTTCAAATTTCTCAAATTTGACATCATTGGGCTTACATTCAACGAGTTTTGAATTTGACATTGATCCTAAATGGGTCCCACCATTTCAACTCGAGGCATTGTATTTGGGTAACACAAGCATAGGTCCTAATGTTCCATCATGGCTATATACACAAAGGTCTTTAACAACTCTAGATATTTCTACATCAGGGATTTCAAAAATTGATGCAGACATATTTTGGAGCTTTGTAGTAGGAATAGATTATGTTGATATCTCAAACAACTTGATTAGTGATGACATATCCAACGTCTCACTATCAGCAAATATGTCTTCCTTAGTTGCATCTCACAACTCCTTGTCAGGATCTATTTTCTCGGTATTGTGCCAACTAGAGAATAATGGAGAAAGCAAGTTGTCAGAATTGGACTTATCATATAATCATTTAAGCGGAGCACTTCCTGATTGTTCGGTCAATCAGAAACAACTATTATTCCTTATTTTGGGGAGTAATAAGCTAACAGGTAAAGTTCCTCCCTCAATGGCTTCATTAGTGAACCTCATGCAGCTGGATTTGAGTCATAATAATTTCTTTGGCAAATTTTCATTGGACTTGTCAAACTGGACAAATTTGGAATACCTCAATTTAGAGGGAAATAAATTTTCTAGAACTTTGCCAAATACCATGCAACAAGGGTTATATGTTATCAAATTCAGGGAAAACCAATTTATAGGCAATATTCCGTCACAGTTTTGTAACCTTACTCAGTTGACAATATTGGATCTAGCTGAGAATAATCTTTCAGGACCTATACCACATTGCCTATATAAAATCATGTAGCCGATTTCGGAATATGTTCCCATAGGTGAAATAGTGGTCTTTGCTAAAGGAAGAGAATTGGATTACAAGGACTTTATAGGCATGCATAGCATTGATCTTTCCACTAACAATTTGTCTGGAGAAATTCCTAAGGAATTGTTTAACTTAGTTCAGTTGTGGTCCTTAAATTTGTCTCAAAACCATTTGATTGGGAAGATTCCCGAGCAAATTGGTGGCATGAAAAACTTAGAATCTCTTGATCTCAGCTACAACAAGCTTTCTGGAGAAATTCCTTCAACCATCTGTAATTTGTCTTTTCTTGATTATTTGAACCTCTCATACAACAATTTCACTGGACAAATCCCATTGGGAACCCAAATTCAGAGTTTCGATCCATGGAGTTTTGTTGGCAATGATCTTTGTGGAGATCCTCTTCCAAAGAAGTGCTACAAGAAAGAAGCTTCTAATGACTCAAAGCCAGCTAAACGAAACGAAGATGATGAGTTTTTGAAGTCATTGTATCTTGGGATGGGAGTAGGATTTGCAGCAGGCTTCTGGGCAGTTTGTGGTTCTCTCTTCCTCATCAGAGCATGGAGACACAAATTTTTTCACCTGTTTCAGCTTCTGGTGGATCGACTTTACGTTATCGTGGCCCTCAAGTTGAAAAAAGCTTCCGATGAATATTAAAATTACACAGATTGCTGTTGAGGTAATTAACCGATCTGAGATCATATACTATTTTAAATCAGGTTTATTTTCCTTTTCGCATTCTTCTAGCGGCAAAATAAATTCAGTTCTTAACTCATTCCTTTTATTGTTCGATATGTTTTCCGTACGGGATACGAGCGCAGCAGCAAGCATATTCCGGTACAATATTTTTGAACGTTAGTTATTTCTTTTTTGTTTCAGGGAATAGAGAGGTTTGCTGCAGCCATACATGGTCTGAGGTCTCTAATGTTTCCTACAGATTGTCATATCTCTACTTTGTGGTAAAATAGTTATCAGAGTATCTGTGTGTTTTGTCATGTCTCAGAAAAGCCTTTTGTTTAATGGTTTTCCAAGTCATGTATTGTTGTGCTTTCAGACTTTGGTTATTTTCTATTTCAATAATGAAAGATTCAAGTATGCTTTTGGAATTGATAATAAATTTTCATGTTCGATGTTGAAGATATCAAAAATTGAAACCTGCAACGCAGTGAATCGCCATGAAGCAGCTGGCTAAGAGGATCTGTTCCGACACTTGAGATGCTCTATTTCATTGTCTTTGAAATAACAAAGTCATGCCCTGGCTAGGTTAGGTAATCAAATAATATCTCTCCACTACTAAACATAATAAACATTAAATAACAAAGTTGGCTTAAATTAGATGCCTTGGTTATGTTTCTAGACTACACTCACAATGAATTATTCGGCCGCAATGACTTGCTTCTTTAATTATTATTTACATTCTTACTTTACAACAAGGGACTGTAATTCTCGTGCAGTTAAAATTGTAACAGTCAAGAATTAAGGATGTGGGTTTATAAATGAACATTGGTGAGATGGGCAAAAAGGAAGATACTTATACTACCTCCAATTCCAATTATAAAATTCAATTTGTAGTGTAATTTGGACTTAGAATTCTTCTCTATTTTCAAAACAAACGCTATATTCCAATTTTTAATGCAACATTCCACTAAAGATTCCAAAATACTTAATTTTACTACTTGTTGTTATGTGAAATCTTTAAATTTATTAATTTTCCCTTGTAATATAATTGTCTCCTCTCTCTCTCTGTTTTTTTCCCCCAATTCTTCTTTATTTTGGAAATTTACATGCAATTTTTTTTGAAAAAAGAAGATGCAAACTTAAATTTTAGGCTACACTTAAAAATTTGCAAATTTTTTGTCCGCGTCTTACCTCCAAAAACTCTCAACGTAAAACAGACTTATGATGTAAAAATGAATATTTATTCCAATATAATATATATATATATATATATATATATATAAAATTGAACTCAAGATGTGTGCGCGCGCGCGCGCGTGTGTCAAATTGAACTCAAGATATAAAGAATACATTAATTTTCTCATTCAAAGCTTAAATAAAAAAAATTAATTTATGTGTGAATTATTTGCAAACATTCTCGTTTGAAATTAAAAACACCCCCAAAACGATGGTTTCAAAATTTATCTGATTATGTGCAGTTTCTCTGTAACACCACAAGATCATTAATGTTGTTATAATATCAACTGAACAGAAAAGGTCTAAATGATAATTTATAGGATATTTTTCTTATTTCAAAAGCTAAAAGTTGTATTCCTAGAAAACCTCTAATGGAATGAAAAAAAAATCCTTTAATTTATTGTTTAAGTGACTTTTATTTTTTGAAGCGTTTCAAACAATTTGGCTGTGTAAATTGAATAAGAATAAAAAATGATATGAAAATGAATGTATTAATATTCTAATTTTTCCTCAAAAAGATGAGAAGACTTGAAAGTATTAGAAGACTTGATCATAAAAAAATATATGGTTATAGATTTTTTTCGCCATTTAAGTGTTTGTGTGCTTTTTCCAATATTTCCTAATAACCACTTTATTTGTAATGATTTTCATTTTTCACCATTTATGTACACCGTGACCATGTAATCTAAATAAATCATGATGACAATTTCATTTTGAAAATTTCATTTTTTTTATTTTAACATATAATATAATTTGAATTTGAGAGGTATATAATTTTGTGGTATGTTTGGGGTAAAGATAATGAATGAATGCTTTCTACAATTTTTTTTTGGCCAACCTACATGATGTGTATATATATAATTTATTCGAAATAGAGTTGAAGAAAACATAAATGATTAAAATTATACGTCAGTTAAATATTTTGTATATAAGATCAATTTTCCTTTGGACCTATAAAAGCCTGACTCTATAGTAAATTTTGAAGGTAAGGTATTTAATTTTATTTATATATATATTTATATATATCCACCCACGTGTATTTGGAAGGCATGTGAATAGGAAAGGAAAGGAGGAATAATTAGCAATAAATAAGCTAAAAAGGAAAAAAGAAAATTGGGAGCTCAAAGAGCCATATGTAGTTTTATGGAATTTCACACGCAATTTTTATGATTTTTTGGTTTATATTAAATTTGATAAGAAATCGTATATAGGGTTTATTATTCTGGGGTTATACTAAAATTTTGTCCGACTTCTTATGTGTAAAAATCAAACTTCAAAGCACAAATATTTATTCCAATTTCGATGATCTGAATTAAGTTATTCATTTCTGGAGTAAAAAAAAAAAAGAAATGAAATAACTTGAACCTTAGGAGTATAATCAAAATATATGTATGTATACGCTGCAAGCTAATTTATGTTTTAAAAGATAACTAAATCTGAGAGATGAGAGCGGTGAAGGCGAAGGCGAGAATGGTGTCCGGAGGCCGGGGGAGAGGTAAGGGAACGGGAGTGGCAGATCAGTGTGGGGACGGTGACATAAGTAATGATCGGGAACATGACAAAGATGGTGACCGGGGGTTGCTCCCCACGACCTTCGTGTTTGGGAGAGATGATCAAGGGAAGGAGGGGCTGTCTAGAGGATCTAAGGGAGTGCCGGTGATGGCTCGCGAGGTACCCCTTTCTTGTAAGGATAAACTTCTTGCACCAGGTTGCTTGGGGCTCTTGGTACGACATGAGGAGCAAGAAGATATAGTCAACGGATGGAAGGCATGCTTTGCTCAAAAGAATGTGAACACAGGCATCGTTGGAACCAGGGGGTTTGGGCGAGGAGGATATAGCGACGGCAAAGGGGAATAGTACACTGCGGACAGTACACTGCTTGGTGCCAACCGTGGCTAAATTCCCTGATTATCAAAGTCTCAGTGGCATGGGTGCCGAAGAATATCCTCTTGGATAGGGTGAAGCGGATATGGAAACCCCAAGAACCAATGAAAATTGTACCCCTGAGCAATGATTCTTACATTGTGTCGTTCACAAGTTGGGAGGATCGGGATTACGCCTATCAGGAAGGGCCGTGGATGATTGACGACCACTATCTTTTGGTTCAACACTGGCGTCCAAATTTTAACCCATGGAAGGCAGAACATGCAAAAGAAGATAGCGGCATGGGTACGACATCCGGATCTGCCAGTGGAGTTTTATAATGTGGAATCATTGTGGATGATCGATAATATGATAGGTAAAACATTGAAGGTGGATCGCTCTACTTCCATATATGATAAGGCTGGCTTTGCTCGAATTTGTGTTGAACTTGACCTCCAGCAACCCCTGCTCCCCGCATATACGGCATTTGGCGAAGACTGGCAGATTGTCTATGAAGGTCTCCATCAGGTCTGCTTTGAGTGTGGGCTATATGGCCATGAGAAAAATAATTATCCATTGTTCCAGGACAAACAGAGGGCGTCGAGTGAAGGGTCGATACAGGAGAATAGAGAAGTGGCATCAAAGCATGATGATGTCAATCAAGAGCCACATAGAATGGTGAACACTGTAGATGATAGGAGTAAGGAAACAAAGGCCGGAAGTACAACGCCAGTGGCAAACAAGCACCTTGGGCCTCAGATGTTGGTTAAGCAAGATTTTAGCAGGGGAATAATGAGTGCGGATTTGAAGGGCTCAAGATTTGGAGAATCACCTAAAAATCAACACGAGATAAAGAATGGGATAGATAATAAAGGTATACCAGCCGTCCAAATTATGGGGAAATCAGAAATAGCAGAAAAATCGGCTTACTCACAGGATAGTCGAGGATTTGGCAAAGAAGTAAATCTGGATGGTAACAATTGGATAAGTGTGGGCTCCAAATGAAAGCAAGATAACAAGCCCATAAAGAAGGGCAAAGAGAATATGGGCTTTAACAAATTGAAATACAAAAGAAAGGAGCCTACTGTCACTTTTAAGGAACCCGTAAACATGAGCAACTCTTTCAACGCTCTCTTAGTGGGCCCCTCCAAGGCTCATAAGCCCAATCATCAGGAAGGAGGGCGAGGTTTGGAGACTGACGCGATGGAGTTAACCCACATGCAGGATATTCATGCACACAATTTAGAGCCACCTGTCTCTCTATCGGGCTTAGAGGGTGCGAGGGAGAGAAGCTTGTTGCAGGACCTGAATATACATGAGCAAGCATCTGAGAAAGAATCTTTGACTTCGGATAATGTCTAGCTAGGGAACACTGAACACACATCAGCAACCGAGATTGTTTCCCAATGAATTTCATGATATGGAATTCAAGGGGCACCAGGTCGAAGGCTTTTCCAAACCTGGTACAAGAACTATGCCGTCACTATAACCTGGATTTCCTTGCTCTACTCAAAACTCAGGCAGATAAGCAAAAGTCTAAGCAAAGAATCTCTAGACTGGGTTTTCAAGAGTTTTCTTTTACTGAAGCAGTGGGATTCAGCGGTGGTATATGGTGCTTGTGGGGTGTAGGCATTAGGAGAGCGGAAGTGTTGGAATGACATAAACAATTTATACACCTTAGAATTGAGAATAGTAGATTTGACTCTTGGTGCATAATGATAGTGTACGCGTCACCAAATCGAGCTGCTAGAAGAAGCCTGTGGGCAGATTTATCGAGATTGGGAGAACAGATGCATGAGCCTTAGGTGCTTGGGGGAGATTTTAACACTACGTTACTTGACTCTGAACGCAGGTCTATCGCACCTAACCCTCTTTCCTCT